CCCAAGCCACATGTCCCCTGGAGGTGACAACTCCTGGCTCGGAGGAGTTAACGTCCTATGGGGCGACCGTGGGGTGGTGATTCCAGCCTGTAATTCCCACTAATGAGAAGGTGTTTGGCAGGGAACTGGCCCGGGCTCAGCTGGGTGACGTGGCTGTGGCCTTGGGGGGAGCAGGGTCAGGGCCAGCCCGGGGCCCTGGGGACAAACCAGCCCCGGAGCCAGGGAAAACAATCGCCTGGATTGTTTGGCTGGGAACAAGGAGCTGGGGAGGAATCATGGCCAGGGGAAGGGGGGGGGGGCTCTGCCTGCAAACCTTCCACACCCCCCCCAGGCCCTGAGTGGGGGGCTGTTCATAACTGGGGAGCTGCTGGGGGAACAGGAGTGGCAGGGGGGGACAGGAGGGTGGCAGAGGGAGCCCCAGGGGCTGCAGGAGGTTCAGGTCCAGCCATGGGGCTCAAAGCTGGTGTCCACGTGTCCCTCCCTGTGCCCTCAGCCTCTCTCCTTTCCTCTCCTCTGGCATTTCCCATCCCTCTCCTCTCCCCATCCTCTCATGGATGGTGGTGCCACCAGCTTCCTTCCCATCTTGGGTGGCTCTTGCAGGATGGTGGCTTGGGAGTCGTGGGGATTTGGGGGGGGGTGACCTGGTGGGGAAGGTTTTGGGATGCTGGGAAGCTGAGGGAGATGCTGTGTAGGCACCTGCTGTGGGGCTGGGCCCCCGTGTGCCCACCCCTGGGTGTCCTGAGGTACCAGAGCTGTCCCTAGGGACCCATGTGCTGTGTCATTGTCCTGCTCCTCGTGCTGGAAACTCGTGTCTGGGCACATGGGAACATCCCGTGCCCTCCTGGCCCTGATAAGTTGTGGTTTTCCTTCTCTTCCTGCTCTCTGGGGTCACGGGATGTTTCTTCTGGCCTGGGCAGGATGAAAAAACAGCAGTTGAAGAAGCCCAGAGCTTGGTTTCCAGGAGCAATGGGGTCTGGGTGCCCTTGGCTTCTGCTCCCATGACTGATCCAGCACCCGATGGGGCTGAGGGGACCCTCTGACCTCCCCCTGCCCACTGCTCTGAGCTTCCCTTTTGCCTGGGACACACTTCTTGTCCTCATGTCCCCACCCCTGCACCTGGTGCTGGTTCAGTCACTGGTGTCACCACCAGTTCAGGGGCTCTGGGACCACCTGGTGCAGGAATTTGGAGGAGAAGCTGGGGAGGGATTGTCAGAGCCAGGGGGGGTGGCAGAGGGAAGCGGGAAGGGCAGGGATCAAACAGCCTCTTCCACAGGCCTTTTGCCTCCTGGTGCACCTGAGGGTGTCCCTGTGGTGCTCATGGTGTCCCTGCAGCATTCCTGGTGTCCCTGCAGCATTCCTGGTGTCCCTGTGGTGCTCCTGGTGTCCCTGTGGTGCTCCTGGGCTTTCCTGACCCTCTGTTGTGTCGTCACGGGGACGTGGGAGCCCAGGAATTCTTTTCATCCAGGCACTGGGGGAGCTGCGGGTGCTCTTAGCACGGGGCTGTGACTTCCTGCTCTCCCTCCCCTTGGGAATTCTGCCCGGGTGAGACACTTGACACGGAGACACCGCGGAGCTGCTGCTGGGAACTGCTGGGTGGGTTTCTCCTTCCCAGCTGCTTTTCCCAGGTGTGTGTTGGAAGGGAGGACAAAGAGCAGCCTAGAGGTCACCTCCATACCCTGGAGTGCTCCATAACCCTGGAATGCTCCATCACCTTTCCCTGTGGGGGGTCAAGGCCCTGTTGTCATTAACCTGCTGTCCCACAAGGGCCTTGGTGCCACTTCCCCTTCCCACCCTCCTTCCCATTTCCCATTTCCCACCCCCATTCCCACCCCCCCATCCATCACCTGAGGGCACCAGCAGGGGCTGGGTGAGGGGCCCTGTGTCCTTCTGTGCTGGTGACAGGGACATCCCGGGCTCCATCCTGAGTGGATCCCACCTGGGAACACTTGGATCTGCAGGGAAAGGAGGGACCTGCCCAGGAGGCAGCAACAGGGGCCTTGGGAACAGGGATTGCACAGAGATGTGGGATGGAATTCCCTCAAATCCAGCATGGGGCAGTGGGCAAGTGGGTCCCTGCTCCTGTGGGAGCTGCTCCTCTGGGAATTGCTCCTGTGGGAGCAGCACTGGGAGGGACCAGATCCCAGCACAGCTCCCTGTGCTCCCCCAGCTGGAATTTAGGGATGGAAAGGAAACCTTGGCCATTCCCAACACACAAATACATCCTGGAAGGAACCAGCCTGGATCAGGGAATGGATCTGCTCGGGGCCAGGGGCCCTGCAGGTGCTGCTCCCGTGATCCCGGGTCCATCAAGCCCCAGCAGGGAACACCGGGAACGCCGCTTGGGAACCAGGTCATTTCCCTCAGTGCTCCATGAATCCAATCCTGCCAGCAAGGAGCTGGGAATGGGGGGGCTGGGGGGGGCTGCACTGCCGGGGGCTCAGCAGGAGCCTCACGGGGCTGTTGATGCAGGAGGAGGGTCCCAGAGGGGGAGACTTTCCCAAACCAGAATAACGAAGGGGACCTTTTTTTATTGTCATTCCCTTGGGATGGGCCCTGGGGCCGTTCCTGCCCCCCTTGGGAAGAGCCTGGTTGGTGGGGCTCGTGCCTGGGCTGGGTTCCCTTTGTCTCTCCAGCTCCTCTTCCATCCCCATCCCTCCTTCCTGCCTCCTTTGTTCCCAACCGGCAACTTCCTGGGATGTTGTTTCTTCCTGAGAGCTGGAATCATCCCAGCCTGGCTTGGGAGCTCTGGGTGGCTGCCTGGGATGGACCCAAACCACTGTCCCCTCCCTGGGGGTCCCTGTCTCCCCCCGGGCAGGTGGGTGGGGGTGGCCACATCCCAGTGGGTCTCTGGGGGGATTGAGCCGGGGGTCCCGTGGCTACCGGAGCTGGTGAGGGACCCTGGAGGTGTCAGATCCAGCCTTGGCCACCCCTGGTGCCACCACCGGTGGCTGTGGCCTCCTTGTGTGAGGTGCCCACCCAGCAGGGTCACCCTGTGGTCCCTGAGGGTGGCAGGGCCACCTTGGGGGGGTGACGGTGCCACTGGGGGCCCCTCTGGGGGTTGTCACCTCCAGCTCCGTTCCTCTGCTCGACCAGCTGATCCCAGTGGATCCAGGTTGGAGCCCTGGGCCTCAAAGGGCATTTCCCTGGGAATGGTGCCCTTGTTCTCCTGCCCCAAACCCTGAGGGACAGCAGTGTCACCTCCTGTCCCCAGCACGGGTGCATCCAGCACCCTTGGGTGAGAAAGATCCTGCTCCAGAGCCAGACCTGGGCAGGGGGGCTGTGAAGAGTGGGGGCTGAGAGCTCAGGGGGGACGTGGTGACAGGGGAGGGGGACACGGTGACAGGGGAGGGGACACAGGAGCCCAGCAGAGCAGCCAGGTGGCCTTGACCCTGTGGAGGAACCTGCTCCTCTCCCTGCTCCTGGCCCGGGCTCTTGTGGCTCCTGGGGCTGGAGGGAACAGGGTTTCCTGGGAAAGGAGCTCCCAGGGGAGTCAGTCCTGGTCCCTCTTTGTGGCAGAGTGAGGAAGATGAGAAGCTGAAGAAGAGGAAGGAGCGATTCGGGATCGTGACGAGCTCGGCCGGGGCTGGAGCCACAGAGGACACAGAGGTGAGACCTTGTCCTTGTGCTCCCTCAGCCCCTGGCCTGGATGCTCCAGGACCTTGGATCTGGGTCTCCAGCAGCAAAGCCCCAGAGACTCCTCAGGATAATGAGGAAGGAGCTGACCCTGTTTCCAGCTCCTCTCCCCCCCCTTTGTTCTCTCCTCTGGCCCAGCTTTTAAATTTGTCACCTCCTCGGGGCCCTTCCTGCTCTGCTGCTTTTATCCTCCCGCTGCTCCCGGTGGCAGCTCCTGGGTGAGCTGGGGCCACCAGCCCTGAACTGGGATCAGCTGGAGCTGGGGACAAAGGGACCCCCGGGCAGGGGCTCCCAGGGCTTGGAAGCCCCTTTCCCAGCTGCTTCCCGGGCTCGGAGGAGGGTCTGGGGGTCCCAGCCCCACGGCTGGGGCATCTTCTGGGGGGGGTTGGTTTGGAGGTCCCTGTGGAGCTTCAGCCCCACTTGGAGCAGCATTCCCAGCCTCCTCCCAGTGTTCCCAGTCTTCCCAACATTACCAGCTTTCTCCCAGCATTACCATCCTCCTCACAGTGTTCCTTTCCTCCTCGCAGTGTTCCAGCCTCCTCCTAGCATTCCCATTCTTCTGCCAGCACTCCCATCCTTCTCCCACTATTCCCAGCTTTCTCCCAGTGACCCCAGCCTTGTCCCAGTATTCCCAGCCTTGTCCCAGTGTTCCAGCCTCCTCCCGGCATTCCCAGCCTCCTCCCAGCGTTCCCAGCCTCCTCCCAGTATTCCCAGCCTCCTCCCAGCGTTCCCAGCCTCCTCCCAGTATTCCCAGCCTCGTCCCAGTGTTCCAGCCCCCCCCCGGCA